AATTAGCATAACCGACAGTTGATCAGACAGCGCACTGTGCCTGGCAGTATTCCTCTTGCTCAGAGAATGCCTTTTGGCTATGACAGATCCACTTATTTCACATTTCTGGTTTTTTAGACACTGATAATATTTCTTCTGTAAGATCTCCAATATGAAAATTGAATACTTCCTTCCATTTATTTATAGTGTTGTCCAATTTGCTGTTTAACACCTGGGAGAGATCCAAGCTATTTCAGCAGAAATTTTATAAGGCATCTTCAACTCAGACATACACTCCATTATGAAGACTACGTAGTGAGTAATGGTATTTTCAAACTACTGGGCTTGATTTCTTTAGGTGTATCTTCTTCCACATCTTTTACAATCAAGAACTCATGAAAAGAACAGATCACTGCACCACCAAGTCATGAAGTGTGGCAGATGTGTACAGAAACAGCATAGTCTGGTACTCAGAGGTGCCAGCTTATGGATTCTGTCCTCAGTTCTGTTGCTCTCTAAGGGTGGGACAGGGGAAAGGTACTGTTACCTCCTATCTTCACAGGTATTATACATCTGAATGTTGTTTATAAATGACTTGGAGAGCCTCAAATGAAAACCTACGTACTTTCAATGAAAGTTGTTTCAACAACCCATTTTTATTCTGTTAAGAACCTAAGATGACACAGTTGCACTTCTGAAAGGTGCTGCAGCTGTTTGCTGAGTGGGCTGTAAAATAGAAAATGCAGCACAGGCGTTAGCACGCTGTTGGAATTTCTTAAGAGTATCAGTTAGTGCTTTCCTGTGTTAATGTTTGATACTCATTCAGACAAAATCTCAGAGATATAAGACTTTTTTTTAATGGGGCAAAAGCACGGAAGAAAACGATGTCCAAATGGAGGGCAAGGGTGAATAACCATCTTAATAATTTGAACCTATAATTCATGCACATGGCGGAAACAGACCTATGTATGATAGCATCTTAATGACAGCCCACACACGTATAGCTTCATAAAGCATAGCTAAGACTTGAGTATTTATTTCTATACACAGTAATACAACATGCATCACCAAATTGGACTAATAAATAACATTAGCATTGTCGGGTTTTGCATAATCACTGAATTAATCTGTTTCTGTGTTTGACATGCTCATTTATTTCAAGTTTCATAATGATTTCTCTTGCTTTATGTTGTAATGTTTACCACTAAGGAGTAGAAAGTTAGGCACTAAACTTTAAACATGGATGTAAACCTACTGAAATTTTGTTAACTGCTAACCCAACCAGTCAAAATTAAATCTATTAACACATTAATTACTATCTTGATAGTCAATAAAATATCCTTTTTTTTTTTTTTTCTTTCAGGACATAGACACTGTTGGAGAAGTTCTTGTTGAAAGAGTTCTGGATGGGTCATTCTTAGAATATGTGCATGTGAGTCATCCAAACAGTGCATAAGGACTACTGCAAAAGAGTGGAAGAACGTGTTCTGTAGATAAACGCAGTCATTAAAATTTAGCCTTTTGCAATTAATGGACTGTTAGTAACTTGCATGGACCTTAAAATGTTGGGTTTTTTCTTAAGTGGTTTTGGTTTTAAATTCTTTTTTTTTTTTCAAATTAAATTTCAGTTTCATTTAAAAAATGTGTGGGGAATTTTTTATTTTTTTGTAAGGATAAAAGAAATATTGTCAGTTTGTCTACCTAAAATACAATGGTCCTGATCTCGCTGCTGCTCCTGTATACAGATACACTGGCATTGGCAGCAGCTTCTCCTATTAGTTTGCTGCTCCATCCCAGGAGCAGGCCAGTCTTTTGTACATTGATGATGACAACGCAATGCTGAAGGCAGAAGATAAACAGCAGCTTTTCAGATG